GGGTGGCCCATATCAGGTGCAGTGTAGTTATAACGCCGGGTATGTTTCTAGAATGTAGAGTGGGCTACCGTGAACTTTTCTGATTGCTGAAACTTGTAATTCTATTAAATTAGACATCTGAAGCATTTTCTCTACTTCAAGGTGTGATGCCTTCTTGTGTAAGGATCGAATACCAAAAGCAAATACATGCTAAAAATTAAATGCGTTTTCATATTTTGGGCAAATGTTACTTCCTGTCCTGTTAACCTAGGAATTTGACATTGCTGGATATTAAATGCTTGTTGGACGTGGACGCGACCTTACTGATGTCAAAATGGAAGATGCCGCCCTTCAAGTTGTCAATATGATCGATGAAGAATGATATCTTGTATTGCCATGATAGATCTATATAAATGAGATGTCATTTCAGCTTCTAATATTAAAGCAGAACTGTTTGTCTTCGAACATTAACAAATTGACAGTTCAAACGGAAACATGATGGCTTCACAATATCGTTGGTGTTTTGTTTTCGAAAAAAGTATAATTTTACACATTTTCCACACCTTAGAACCTTTCAAATTTTTTGCTATTGCATTTTTTAATGAATTTGTCTGGCCCTAAACGTCAATACTTCCCTCCAAACACCTTGAAACACTGTCTTATTGTGGCAGTGGAATAGCTCACTCGGTAGCGAATTGGATTGGCGTCTGCTAGGCGATTAGGTGCCGTGGGTTCGAATCCTCCTCAAGGTAAGAAAATTCTGATTCCTGTGCCAGTTCTTTCGAGAGTCGGCACGGTGTCGGCTTTCACCCCCTAATAACTAAAACCATCTGAATATCACGTCGGGCTACGATGCTGAAAATTTCCCGTGGGTGTTCCGTAACAGGATTGTTATAAAGATGAAAGGTAAAAGTTTGTTCGAGAGCTGAACTTAAAGACTCATATTAGTGGCATTGTAGAATAATACTAGTATAATATCATAGGTTCACAGATTGTTACTTTGAAAATTAATAAAAACCCTATAGCTAAAATTACAAGATATGATGAGACAAATTAGAACTTGAAAAATCTGTCGAGTTGTTGTCAAATGTGTGTTTCATGGCACTTGGTCAGGTGAAGAATAATTATTCTATATCACGTCTTATAATTTACAATTGTAAATTTATTGAAGAGAGATGAATTTCCTTGGAGGTTTGTATATAATATATATGACTGTTAAGAAGCGTAATGATCATTTTAAAGAGAACCAATTTGATAGAACGCCTGTTGTTAAAATACAAATTAAGTTTGTTAGATTGTTCTGTTTGAAAATTAAAATCCAGATAGCATACAGTGTCATATAAATAAGCCTACTACCGAGTCCAAAGGAATTAATTGGAGTAACGTTTTTATCAACTAACTGTTCAAGTCGTTACATTTCCTCTTCCAGATCACACGAAATGTAATTTGTTTTTTCTTCTCGAGCTCTATCTCCTTTCGAACTGTTTAATGGAGTTTTAGGTCATACTTTTTCTCAGTCAAATTAAAATGAGACCAAACGTTCGTTCCCTTTTTGATTTTTTATTTTTGCCACTTCTAACGACAGCCTTCTTGAACGTCAAATTAACCTTTGACCTAAACCACGTCACAAATTGCCAGGACTGGAAAGGGTAGAAATGTTTAGTGTAATTCTAAGTAGACTGACTTTTTCTGCTCTATAGATTTGGCTTTGGAAGACTGGCTACGTCCTTCAATGTGCAGGAAGGTAAATTTGCCACGACATCATAACTATACTCTACTTCTTATGAGTACAACTGTCGAGGGATTGCACAATTTCAGGAGTAAATTAAATTAATATTTGAACTTTAAATCAATTAACTGTGTTCAGACAAATTAACATTCTGACACAGAAAACTGCTCCTTGTCCATTCCGAAAAAAATTGCTTACAGATCGCATTTTGACAATCATTTGTAGGTACATATCCTATCAAACTGTCTTGTTGATGGAAATTCCAACCAACAACTGAAAACAGTATTTTTTTGGTAAGATGATTTTACCAAAGAGAATGTTCCTTTTTAAATGTTGGTCATTTTCACTACCCATTTCTTCAAGGAAAGTGTGCTTACTTCAAATATAAAATCACTGAACCGTATATTTCATGGACCCAGTTGAAATTGAGAAATGAGATTTTTAAAGCTTACTTTGGTTTGAGAGTAGTTCATCTCTTTAGAAAGTCAAGCTTAATACCTTGGCTTCATAAGCCACCTTATCACAAATTGCAGCGATTTGATTGGATTATCCGCTACAAAATATTGCCAATCAAGGCCCTTGAGAGACAGACTTTCTGTCGAGTGACTGAGTGGCTATTTTCGATAGCGTACAATCCAATCAAATTTTGGTAGGCTAATACAACAAAAGTGTCTAAAGAATTCAAGGTGTTAGACGCAGTTCATAATAGATTGACATTGTAAAGATGGGAGTAGTTGGGTTTGATAATTTTGCCAAGTAATTCAATTGTAGTATGTCAATACAGTGGAATGTCATTGAGTTATTATGATTATGATTGAATGATTTAGAATGAACACGTA